GGAACTGAATCCATGTCCTCTGCAAGAGCAGCTAGTGCTCTTAACTGCTGAGCAGTCTCTCCAGCTCCTATATTTTAAATTCACTTATGAATTGCTATTAATGGATATATAACATTCCTTGTGTAAAGCTCCATTTGCTGCCACACATAGTGGTGCATGCCTTTAATCCCAACACTTGGAAGACAGAGGTAGGTAGAGCTCTGTGAGATCAAGGCCAGCCTAGTCCATATAGTGAATTTCAGTCCACCTGGGGCTATAGGGAAATCCTGTCTCAGAAAATCAACCAACAAACAAACAGAAAAAAACAAAAACAAACAAAAAAGCAACAACTCAACTTCCTATTGAACTTGCTTTTACATTTTTTAAAATTACTGTGAAAATGCTGCAATGATCCTTTTAATTAACTGTGTCAATAGTTATATATATGAAAGACAACTTAAGAAGTATAAGTCTGATGCTGGAATTTCATGGAACATATAAATTTGTAATTTCAACTGACAATCATATATTATAATGCTTCTCCATTATAGGTAAATTAAAATTTCCAGTTGTATATCCCGTATCAGCAAAGAGCACACTCAAATTTAAATTCTATTTAAACTTCTACATATATTTTGTAAGTTGGCCATCTCTTCAGGTGTCCAACTGAGATGCTTTTCTTCAAAGTGCATATTTATCTTATTTGCATGTTTCTGGTTTTGGTGTTCCTGTATATTTAGTCATATTTTACTATTAAAAGTGAACCACTGCCTTGGTCAAATGTTTAAATAAGACTCGTTATGATGGAGAAATTATAAAGAAATTAATCAAAAATCTTCTGGGAAATGGTATTTATACAAACATCATCTATGAACTTAGAGACATACTTTTCCTTTTAATATTTAATCAAAATAAGAAATAATACAGCCATTAAGTTTTTATTTTTGTAAAGGTCGAGAAAGAGGCTGTTGTCAATAATGTTGTTCTGGTTGGAGAAAGAAGTCAAATCAATCATTGACTTCTAGGAATACAGTCAGATCAACTATGCCACTATCATCATGAATATAGATTCTAAATTGTAACCTACAGTCCAAGGAACCATTCCCAAAATCTAAATTTCTTGAGGATTTCATCACTCAAATGCCAGCACTAAGCACAGGTTAATTTTTAACAAACACAGCCAATTAACACTATAAATATTCACTTCTTCACAATTATTAATAAATATATAATTATTTTCTACCAAATTCAGAAGAAAGGGGGTAAGAAATATAAGAATTTGGGACTAGTTTTGTAAAAGGTTAAGTGGGAAGGGTATTTTGAATTGTATTTATGGTGTTTAAGAAACATGCACCAATGGAAAACTAACTCCATTTCTTTTGGGAAAGAGGCTTACTAGAATATATTATATCCCTCAGAATCAGGTAGTATTGCTGAAAAGTTTGTTCCCTCAGTCTTGTTCAGAGAGTAATGGTTTTAACATGCTTCTAGTATTCTTGAAATATGATGAGGCGAGGCCAGGTGTGGTGATGCACAACTTTAATCCAAGCACCCAGGAGGCAGAAGCAGGTGAATCTCTAACCTGGTCTACATAGTGAACTCCAGAAAAGCTGGAACTACAGGGAGACCATGTCTCCAAAAACATATCATAGGATAGAAAGGGGATTAGGGAGGTGACTTTGTTGGTAAAGTGCTTGCTGCATAAGCACAAGGTTTTGAGTTTGGACACACAGCTTCCACATAGCAAACCTGGACATGGTGGAGTGTCCCTCTAATCTTAGCACTGGGGATGTGGAGACACATACCCATCCACACGTGTACAACCTCCACCCCCCACACAGAAAATAAAGAGGTGTTCAGAAGTAAGAAACTTTAGTTATCACTCTTAGCCTTCAACTTGGTTCATTATAGACTCTGAATCACATTTTCCCCAAGAGAACCAGAAAAGCCAAAAAAAATTGTTGTGAGCCACCTAGTTCCTAATGGTTATTTTGCCTTTAATAGCATGATTTCTCCAAGGGTAAGTCTGCTTCAACAAGTGGGTCTACTCCTGAAGCCCCCCCCGGCAATAAAGCAAATAATTATATCTTGCTTTTCTAATTTGAGCTGGGTGTGGACGTTTTGTCCCCTGGGTCCTCTTGAAGCTTTGAAAAATTAGAACTCACCAGTTTCTCAGGAGTTGTGAGCAAAAGGATATTGGTTTATTTATCTTGTTTGGCTGTGAACTTATACATCTCTTGCCTCTTACAGTGCAATATGAAGTTCCTTTGAGATAGCACCTGCTTTTCTGCCTTCTGCATCATCTTGAGACAAATGGAAGAACTCCCCCATGTTCTAAGCTAAAGGTACCTGTGCTCATATCAAAGAGGTCATAGGCATGCAGATATGACATACATTCAGTAATACGACTGAATGTATTTGTTTATGTGTGAATCCACAGCATTTGACTTATTCATAGATTAGATGCTTAATACAGTACAGAAAAAAATCCAAGTAGAAATTTATCTTGAAATAATTATTCAAATTTTGAGATGATAGTATAAAAACAAATCTACATTTAATAATTCAATTAAAAATAAGTCTGTATTTACTTCAGAGAAGACAGTGGAAAATACCTCTTTTTGTTTATTTTTACCCCTCAGTAAATTTTGTTGGATTTCTTTGTAAATTTGTCACAAACTTCTACAATTTTATTCACATCTTCTGCCACAAAGAATAAATAGGTGCTTTATGTCTAAATTTTTGAGGCAACTACAGATTCTTGCTGGCATATAATCTGATCTCTACGTCAGTACACAGTAAGCTATTTAAAAACTGTGGTTACTTCTTTTCTTAAGCCTTTCCTAATGTGTACTATTGCTATGAAAATAAAATTGAAATATACTTTTATGTCAGAAAGGACTTTATCTCCTCAGTAAATCTCCAACCCAATTATCTTTCTAGGTTGAAGATGGTCTTAGATTTTCTCTGTTTTTCAACTTCCCTAACTCGACTGTCACCAGACTCTGAACTAGAATGCCTATCTGTATATTTGTCAAAAGGCAGATTGTATATCCAGAACTCCTTTTTAAAGAACATTTAAGATTAGATCTGATCATCACTTTAGTATCTGCAGCTTGACCATTGATCAAATCATGACCATAGACTCACTCTGAATCCGATTCTAGGAATTCATAAAATGGGTTAATATGAAAAACAACATATTATTAAGTTATTATAATGCTGATCAAAACAGCAAAGTATTTTTAATATATAAATGTCCAAAAATAACTAATTAGCATTTTCATGATAATAAACTTCTTATTGTTAGCATGGTAATGAGTAGTGTAACTGAATGTGTAATCCATCTCAGATGAGAGATATGTTAAAAGAATGTATAACATATTAGATGACTGAAACATGAATAAATTCTAAATGTGATTTCATTCAAAGTGGGAAAATTTGTACAACATATAAACATTATCTTTCAAAATGAGTGGTAAGTCCTAATATGAGACATTTTAACTTTCAAAGTATCCAGATTAATTTTATACATTAATAAAATATGGATTATATACATTTATTCTTAATACATTTTCCATTGTGTGTGTGTGTGTGTGTGTGTGTGTGTGTGTGTGTGTGTGTTGTAGCAGGGGATTTAGGTCTCTCCTTCCACCATATGCATCCTGGGCATAAAACTCAGGTTGTTAGGGAGCCGACATCTTTACCAATTAAGACACCTCTGCAGCCCTGAACTCCATTTTCAAGTAGACAGATCATGAGTTTCTCTTAATTACACTAGGACTATTCATGTGGATAGTTCTAAGATAAAATGACATGGAGGTTAAAGAGAGAAAGTATTACTGATAAAAAATAGAAATGATAATGACAATGAAAATAACCATTAAGAATCATTGGCATGCTGTTTGCCAGTTCTATACTGGTAAAGATGATTGCAATTCTTTGAGATATTCTGTATAAAATACACAAAAATTCAATAAAAACAAATTTAAAATAAAGAATCATTGGCATGGGGCTGAAGAGATGGCTCGGAGTTTAAGAGCACTGGCTTCTCTTGCAGAGGATGCAGGTTCAATTTGCAGCACCCACATGGCAGCCAACAACTATCCCGGACTCCAGTTCCAGAGGATCCTATGCCCTCTTCTGACTTCTTTGGGCACTGAACGATACGGATGTACTTACATACATGCAGGCAATACACTCAAACACATAAAAATAATAATAAACTAGTTTTAAAAATCACTGGTACAATGCACCTAGACGAGAAATAATAATAATGGGGAAGGTGTTTTGTTATACTTGAAACACAGAAAGAATTCCATTTTTGTAGTTGCAGTTTTCAACTAGAAAATCCAAGTATTTCCAAGGACTTGAAAAACAGTGTAATTGTTCATATACCATTAAGAAATTCAAAAGAGAAACAGTCTTTTCTCCACATCCCATGAAAATTTCTTTAGGAAAAATGAAAAATGCTGAAAATATTGAGTGTAAAATAACAATTTGTACCACAATGCCCTTACCATTGACCTGATATATATTCACGTTCTACTAAGTCTACAGTTCCTGATATCTTAGAACATCAAAAGATCCCAGTGACCTCACTCATTTAGATTCAACCCCTGAAAATAAAGCATTATCCAAAGTATATTTCAGAGGCATGAGTTAGGTTAAGACAGAGAGACACTGATTTTAGATCATCTATTTTTTATTAACTAGTTACATTCTTGGCCTTGCATCCTAACTGCATAATCTAGATTTCCATCATGAACTCCAGAAATAGAGTCTAGTCTAATGTGATGGTCAAACTGATGTTTCCCAGATTCACCAAAAGATACTGAGTTAGTTTGAATGGGGGATAAAATTGTCCTTGGACCAGATGATCACTATCTCATTAGTGTACCCAGAATCCTATGATTTGGGGTGAAATGAACATACTGACCAGTGAAAATGGTTTTTCTTTGTAATAGGCTCAGTTACTTCTCTTTCGTATTTCTGTCTTTTTATTTCCAGCACAAAAGAAGATGAGCAGTATTAGAAGGAATAATCTGAGCAGTGCATCGGAGTTCATCCTCTTGGGGATTCCCATCCGGCCAGAAGAGCAAGGCTTCTTCTCAGTTCTGTTCCTGGCCATCTATCTGACCACGGTGCTGGGGAACCTGCTCATCATCCTGCTCATCAGGCTGGACTCTCACCTCCACACCCCCATGTACTTCTTCCTCAGCCACTTGGCCTTCACAGACATCTCTTTCTCATCTGTCACAACTCCAAAGATGCTCATGAACATGCTGACACAGAGCCACTCCATCTCATACACTGGGTGTGTTTCCCAGGCATATTTTTTTCTATTTTTTGCAGATCTTGACAGCTTTCTTCTTACTGCAATGGCCTACGACAGGTATGTGGCCATCTGCCACCCTCTGCACTACACCACCATCATGAGTCAGAGCCTCTGTTTCCTACTGTTAATTGTGTCCTGGGCCTTGTCTTGTGTCAGTGCCCTTGTGCACACTCTTCTCCTAGCTCGTTTGTCCTTCTGTGGGGATAATATTCTGCCCCACTTCTTCTGTGATCTTTCTGCCTTACTTAAGCTGTCTAGCTCAGACACCACCATCAATGAGCTGGTTATTTTCACTGTAGGAGTGGTGGTCATTACTGTGCCATTGATATGCATTTTGGTCTCTTATGTCCACATTGGGGGCACAATTCTGAAAATTCCCTCCATGAAGGGAATCTGCAAAGCCTTATCCACATGTGGCTCTCACCTCTCAGTGGTTTCCCTGTACTATGGAGCCATTATTGGCCTATACTCCTTCCCTTCACCCAATAACAATAATAACAAGGATGTCATTGTGTCTGTGATGTACACTGTGGTCATACCTATGCTGAATCCCTTTATCTACAGTCTGAGGAATCGGGATATGAAAGGAGCTCTGAGGAAAATCCTCAGTAAAGTAATTTTATCACAGCAGTAGATACTGTCTACCCTATTAACTGATAGGGAGACATTCTCAATTCCATCCATGCATAGTTCCCCCTCTCAATTGTTGTATGTAGTACATTTTGATAGGTGCACTCTTTTATTTAGAATATGTTTTTCAACTAGGGTATACTTTTATTTTTTATTTTTAATGTATATTTTAATTGGTTTTTGTACATTTCATACAATAAATCATATTTAGACCCTCCTCCCACATCTGTACCCCTCTGTAACCTCCTCCACTGTGTTTCATGCATTCTGTCATGTATGTTAAGGCCCATCAAGTCAAGTTTTGTATCCAGATGTCCCTTGGTGCAAGTTCATCCTCTGGAATGTAGTCAGCCTATTAGGAGTCCCTCTGCAGCCTCTTATTCTCTAAAACTTAGCCAGTTGTAGCCTTCTGTGTGTATTACACTGCTGCATGAGATAGCTTCACTGCTGAGAGTTGAGGGATGTACTGGTATTCTCTCTTCCTTGATCTGCTATGGTCCGTGAACCTTAGGTGAAGAAATTCCACTGTAGCTGTGTCACTTAGTGCTGGGCATCTCTCAGACATATATTCGATATGTGTGACAGGTCTGGAACTCTATAATAGACTCCATCTTTTGCAAAAGAAACTTCTTTGATTAGTGGTGTACAGTATAGTTGTCTGCAAATATAGGGATCAATATCTAGCATACAGTAAGAAACTTCATTTTTCTAGAGATATGACAGAGATATGGCTTACTCTAGGATTTAGCACCACTCCGGTCATGTATATTTGTCTATGTTTACAATGCCACGCATGAGTTCCCTCACACTGAGACGTTTTGAACTCCAATTTGATAGCTGCTGATTACCCCCTAGTTAATAGTCCAATACTGTACCAATAGAGGTAGTTTTCTATGCCAGTTGTTATGGTTATTAGGCTGTAGGGCAGGTTTGGACTGTTGATTGATTTTCTCCCTTAGGAGCTTGCTTAATATCCTCTAGAACTATGAGAACTAGGAGGTCAGCTCCTGTGCCATTGCTCCAAGTCTTGTGTCTAAAGTATGTCCTGTCCTCAGCAGTAGGGTCTTAGCTTCCAGTTCTGGCAAATAACCAAGAACTCTGGCAACAGCCTGTGTTATTTTGGGAGTCTCTTGGTCCACTCTGACCTCCACTCAAAGGGAGGTGTCTCATGTCTGGTATTGTATTCCTTTCCAAATATATATATGCACTAATATTCAGACTCTGGATGTGCACTTCTCATGGATTTTCAGAGGCAACCTATTTCCACATGGCTTCACTAGCCCCCCCATCACCTCTACTCTCTCTCTCCCATCTGACCTCGCTTCTCTTTTCCCAGTCTGAGCACCTCCATTATTCCTACCATCCTCCCAATAACACCTGCTTCCACAATCCCTCTTCTCCTGAGTTCCCTCCTCCCCCACCATAGCCCCAGCATGTCGTTCCCTCCTCCCCTCCCATTCGAAAACTCCCAGTTTCCCAACATCCCCCCTGGTAACATCTGTTCCCTGCTATCCACCTCTGTGGTGGTTTGAATAAAAATGTCCCCCATAGGCTCCAAATATTTGGACATTTTGTCCCCAGATGGTGGTGCTGCTGTTTGGGGAGGTTTTACAAGATGTGGTTATCCTGGAGGAAGCATGTCACTGAGGGTGGGCTTAGAGAGTTCTTAAGCCTTGTCGAATCTCCAATTGCTCTCTTGCTTCCTGTGCCTGCATGATGATGTGAGAGCTTAACTTCTGCTGCTACTGCTCCAGCCACCTCTGCCACCATATCTCCATGCCATGATGGACTATAATTTCCCTGGAACCATAAGCTCAAATAAACTCTTCCTTTTATAAGTTGTTTTGGTCAGTGTTTGTATCATAGCAACAGAAAAGTGACATATACACACCTCTCTTGTGGTCTTTGCCTTTACCTCCGTCTTTCCTTGCCATTTTCCTGGCTCCTGGTCTTACATCAGGATATATACTCACATATAAGAGATTGCTGCTATGATCCACAAATGAGGGCGAACATAAGTCACTTGCTTTTCTGTGTTTTTGTTACTTAGTATAACGGTCTCTAGTTCATCCATTTACCAGCAAATTCCATAATTACGTCTTTTTTATTGCTGAGCAGAAATCCACTGTGTACTGCATTTTCTTTATTCATTCAACGGTTGAGGGGCATTTAGGTTATTTCCACTTCCTAGCTATTGTAAAGAGAGCAGCAACAAGTATGGATGTACATGCATTTCCTCAGTAGGATGAGTCCTTTGGGTATATGCCAAGGAGTGGTATAACCAGGTCACATGGTAAAATAATTTTTAGTTTTTTGAGAGTTCTCCACATTGCTTTCTATAGTGGTCGCACAAGTTTGCTTTCCCACCAGCAGTGACTGAGCATTCTCTTTTCTCCACATCCTCTCCAGCATTTGGACTCTCAATCCTTTGATCTTAGCCAGTCTGACTGAGGTAAGATGGAATCATAGAGTGGTTTTTATCTGAATTTTTCTAATTACTAAGGATATTGAGCACTTTTAAGGCATTTCTTAGTCATTTTTATTCATTTGAGAACTCTTTGTTCAGGTCTATTGCCCATCTTCTCACTGGGTCATTTATATTCTTGTTTCTTTGTTTCTTGACTTCTTTGTACTTCTGGATATTAATCCTCTAATGAATGTGTGGCTGGTGAAGATTTTTTCACACTCAGTGGGTTTCCTCTTCATTTCCTTGGTTGTTTCCTTTGCTGTACAGAAGCTTTGTAGCTTAATGAAGTCCCATTTATTTGTTGTTGCCCTTAATAGCTGAGCAGATGACATTTGATTTAGAAAGTCCTTTCCTACACCTGTGTCTTAGAGGGTACTACCTATGCTTTCTTTTAACAGTCTCAGAATTTCGGGTTTTGTATTAAGGTCTTTGAACCACTTGGAGTTGACTTTTGTACAGGGTGAAAGATAAGGGTTCAATTTCATTGTTCTATAGGTGGAGATCCAGTTTTGCCAACACCATTTGTTAAAGATGTTGTCTTTCCTCCATTGTGTATTCGTGACAACTTTGTCAAGTATCAGGTGACTGAAATTGCATGCACTCATATTCAGGTCTCCTATTTTGTTCCGTTGATCTATGTGTCTGTTCTTGTGCTAGTACCATTATATTTTTATGATGATAGCTCTGCAATATAATTTGAGATCTGGTAGGGTGATCCCCCAACATTGTTCTTTTTGAACAAGGTTGTTTTGACTCTCCAGGGTCTTTTATATTTCATATGGATTTTAGGATGCTTTTCTTTAGCTCTGTGAAGAATATCATGATGACTTGGTTGATCTTACATTGAATCTATAGATTGTTTTTGGTAGGACTGTCATTTACAAAATATTAGGTCTACCAATTCATGAAAACAATAGGTCCTTCCATCACCTGGTGTCTTCCTGTACCTCTTTCTTTAAAGATTTAAAGTTTTCATTGTAAAGATCTTTAATTTCTTTTGGCAAGTTTATTCCTAAATATTTTTGAGGCCATTGTGAATGAGAGGGTTTCCATGTACTCTTTTCCAATTGAAAGGCTACTTATTTTTGTAAGTTGATTTTGTAACTCACCACTTTCCTGAAAGTGTTAATTTCTAGCTGTTTTGTGATGGAATTTTGGGGAAATTCTTATGTATAATATCAAATCATCTGCAAATAGTGATAATTTGACCTCTTCTAGTTAGTACTCCTTTGATTTACTTCTCTTGTCTTATTGCTCTAGCAAGAATTTCAAGCACTGTATTGAAAAGGAGTGGAGATAGTGTGCAGCCTTATCAAGATCCTGATTTTAATGAGACTGCTTCCAGTTTTTCTACATTCAGAATGATGTTGGATGTGGTTTTGTCATAGATAGATTTAATGTTGAAGCATGTTCACTCCAGTCCAGTTTCCTCTAGGACTTTTGACATAAATGCATATTAGATTTTGACAAAGGCCTTTTTCATATCTATTGAGATGACTGTGTGGTTTCTGTCTTCAAGTTCATGCATAGTAGTTATTACATTTGTCGACTTACATATATTGAATCATACCTAAATCTCTGGAGTAAAGCTGACTTGATCATGGTCAATGAGTTTTTTGATGTGTCTGTATTGTTTTCAAGTATTTTGTTGAGAATTTGGCAACTATGTTCATTAAGGATATGGACCTATAATTTTATTTTTGTTGTTTCATTACCTGATTTTGGTATTAGAGTGATACTGGCTTTATAGATGGTGTTTGGGAGTTCTCCTTCTGTTTCTATCTTTTTGACTAATTTAAGAATATTGGTTATAGATCTTTTTGACTGTGTTATAATTCTTCTGTGAGTCCATATGGGCCTGGGTATTTTTAGTCTGGAAGTTTTGCATTGCTGTTTCGTTTTCCTTATTTTTATTGGTATGATTAAGCTATTGGCCTCTTCTTAGTTTAACTTTGATGATTTCCATGAATTTAGAAATTTATCCATTTCTTTTAGATTTTCAAATTCAGTAGAGCATAGATTTTAAAGCATTCCCTTATAATGTTCTGGATGTGTGGGGGGGGTGTGGGTGTGGGTGTGTCTGTGTGTCTGTGTCTGTATCTGTTATGATGTTTCCCATTTCATCTCTGATTTTGTTGATTTGGATTTGTTCTTTCTTTCTGTTGGTTAACTGGGCTAAAGGTCTGTCTATCTTGTTTATCTTTTCAAAGAACCAGTTCTTGGATTCCTTGATTTTTGCATTGTTTTGTTTCTATTGCATTAATTTCTGATTTTTATTTCTTCTCTTCAGATAGGTTTTGGTTTGGTTTGTTCTCTCAGTTCTAGAGTCTGGAGTTACATTTTCAAATCATTTACACAAGCCTTTTCTGCTGTTGCATTGTAGGCACTAAGAGATATAAACTTCCCTCTTAGGACTGCTTTAACATGTCCCAGAGGTTTTGTTGTGTTGTATTCTGATTTTTCATTTAGTTCAAGTAATACTTTTCTTTCTTAGTTCCTTCTTTGAATCATTCATCATTTGGGAGTGTGTTTTTTAA